CGATTGACGACACACCGATTAAGGACATGTGAGAGAGTCCGGCACAAAGGCAATACACCAACATACTCAACAAGCTGAAAAATAAGGATAACGAAGTCGTGTTTATTAAACAATAGGTGTAAGAAGCATTTCACCGGGATTGGGTCACTCATGAGTATCGAGTCCGGTCTCAACAAGCATCTTAAAACCGCATGTTGGAGACAAATGGTGCTCGGTCGTCGGCTTATTCAAGCATATTGAATAGTCCATCTCTTTGATCGAATACACTAAGCATTGGTAAATACTATATTATTCATTTTATCATAAATTAATTTTTTTTTGTTTATTTTATCTCATATTATTTTATTTATTTTTTCAGCATCATAAATTGGCTCATAACCTAAATCCTTAAGAGTTGTTCGTGACCACTTACAAGTGAAAGGATGAGACATTCATCAACAGGAGGTCGCAAATAGTAATGTAAGGTTTTATGTATATTTTTTCCAATATATGTACTTATACTAATATAATATGAGAAATATATTTATAATTTAATATCGTTATTATTTCAATGATTTAAGAGCGCATGCAATCGATGTAAAAAGCAGTTGCTAAAGAGTGGTAAAAGGATGATGTATTGTCTCAAGATCTCAATATGTCCAAGATATATTTGGATGCTATCGGAGGAGAGAAGAAGCAGAAAGAACTTATATGGTCCAATATTACTCATATTCTTGCACCAACTCCTACTTTACCACTTCGCGGTATTCCGATGGTAATATCTAGGATATTTCTATCCGAGTACAAAAATTGGATAAAAGGGATAGAGGTTACCATTGAGCAACAAGGTAGTAAAGCATGTGGACTTAGTTGCAAAGAATTTTGAGATTGTTAGAGAACCTTCATCCACCTTCCGTCCTTTCTACCGCCTCCCATAACCCAATAATCGAGTGTTCCTCTCAACGACCAACAAGTGAAAGATGATGATAATGAGGACTAAAATTTTTATTTTTTTAAAACGAGTTTTTAATATATTTGTACATCTTAATGCATTTATATATTTATTTTATTTAATAATATTGCGTGGTTTTATAAAGTATTATTTATATTTGTTTGTTCACAATTATCAATAAATGACAATTCATTAAAAAAATAAAAAATAATGACGAAATAGAGATGATAATTAGCGACGGATGATACTCGGTCGCTAAATAGCGACGGAATTGGGAGGATATTAACAACTAAAAAATAACGATCGTACATCCGTCTCTAAACAACGACATAAATAAGTGAAAATAACGACGGTTAACAACTGATGCAAGACATCAAAGACTGATTTAGAACCATTTAATGACGGAATATCAACAAAATAGCGATGAAAAATCCATCGCTAAATAATAATGAAAAGAATTTCATCATTAAGAAAACAACAACCACTACTTTAGTAACAGATTGAATTTTGTTTCTAATCGGTCTCTAAAATCATTTAGCAACGGATTTCTGGGATATAGCAACAGATTTTCCAAAATTCTTCTAGCGATTCTTTCATCTTCGCAAAACCCCAAAGAACATTATATTTGACCCGGTGCAGTTTTCAGCTACCTAATATTTTAAGGGAAACTTTCTGAACCGTCCCTTCGATTAATAGTTTTAGTAATTGCTGCTGGCATCTCATCTCATTACGTTCTTGCTTTTGATCCGTCTTGATTTGTTGGGAACTGGGAAAGGTGGATGGTGGTCCAACACGGCCAAGTCCAAGGTAAGACTAAGGCTAAGTACTCTTCTCTTCTGTATCTCCTTACGCCTCTTAAATACTAAGTTGGTTCAATCAAGGACAAGATGTTAGGTAATTTTGTAAAGAAATACTATCATTTTAAATGTTAGTGCATTGCGTAATCAAAACTGAGTTCTTTCTTTCCGCATCACCTTTTATGAATTAGAGTAATCTATTCCCACATTTATCTATGCTATACCATAAAATGATAATGGTGGATCTTTCTTCTTAAATTGATAACTAGTTTTTATTAGTTTTCTTTATATATAATTACTCTAATATAACATATGACATTCTTTACATGAAGTTTTTCTAAAGTAATTTTTTTTTGTTTCTTTTTGTTAAGCTCTACATATTAAAAAAAAAAAAAAAAAGCTTTTCTATCTCTCTTCTTCATCTGATATGAGATGGCTTTTTACATGAAGTTTTTTCTAAAATAATTTTTTATTCTTTTTGTTATGCTTTAGGGAAAAAAAAAAGAAAAAGAAGAAGAAGATCATTTTACCTAAACAAAACAATAATTTCATGAATAATAATCTATATATCATCTTCGTCTTTATGCGTATGAAAACATAAAGCTTGGGAATTCAATCACCACAAGTGGAATGGCTTAGAACTTGCCATGTGACATTAAAATAAAGAGTTGTGGTGCAATGAAATTACATCAACAAACGCTATTCAGAATTGAAGTGATCTATACGTTTCAACTAATTCATTTACAAATGACAATCCAATTGAGTCAGCTATCTTCAAGGTTTCGCAACATAAATAACAAATTGAGTCAGCTTTAAAAGAGCAAATAATGACAACTGTTGTCAACTTGGAAGTAAGAGATTATTTAGTATTTTTTTCTTTACTTCAAGTGACAAAATTCATCATTTTTTTTCTCTATAAAATGACAACATCTGTCAAAAGAGAGGGAAAAAAAAAAAACTAATGTGACATTGAAATTATGTTGAAAGGACCACTTAGTTATTGAAATGACAAACGGCTTTTTGAGATAAAACACGGCAAAATTATTTATTTTACTCTACATAAAATGACAAAATTTATCATGTTACAGAAACGAATATGACGAAATTCCTTACATTTCAGGGATTAACATGAAAAGTTTCGTCATATGAAGACATGTTGAAAGCACTTCCTAAAATTTATCTTGACAAGTTGTTTTCATTTTTTATTGATAAATAATGACTAAATTTGTCAATACACATATAAAAAAAAGGACAAAATTTGTCGACGTAGAAATTACTATCTCGCGATATATTTTAAGTGATGAATATCATTGATGACCTAGATTTATATCAATAGATATGAAAATTCGACAAAACGTTCGTCATGTTTAGATATGAGGATGATATCTCGTGTATAATATTATAAAAGACTTCTTCAAAATTAGGTGTGTTTTGTTGCAATGCAAGTGGTATTTTTGATGGTACATAAGTTTAGGTAAACTTTTATTCAATTTTCTACTATGAATCCCTTTTTTCGAAGTGGCATGACAAATGAAGAGGTAGAATATAAAACGATCTGAATATATTTTATAGGTTTGGCAAATATTCTTTAATAGTTTATTCCTGATATTTATAATCTACATTGTCCGAACATATAGTCCAGTCATGTATTGAAAGTTTTCTACAAGGGTTTACTAGGTAAGCAACAATTACAATTTAACTTGAATGTGGAAATTATGTGACAAAATTGAGGTCAAGGTTGATATAAAACGGTGTAAGTAGTAGGTAAGAAGATTATGGCTGGAGAGAACTGTGCTACAAGCAAAAAATAAGTCTAGAAGAATATTGCTAATTAATTAATTAATTAATTTAGTAAATTACGGTTATTGATAATTTATAGTAAGATTTGGGATGTCTCTAATCAAATCAATTAGTTAAATGCTATAACTAACGGTTTGGAAATGCCGAATTTTAGTACACAAAGACCTTTTTTTGTTTACCAGGATTCTAGAATATAGTATCATGTATTTTAGTAACGAGATTTTTTACGATAAAAGTCACACCATAACATTATATGCATATATAAAGTTTTAGATGCCTCACATCACATGGATTTATACATGGAAATATATAAGATATTTTTTATCATTATTTTTATTTGTTAATATCTCTTACTAATTATGATTGAAAAAAAAATGACTAGAAAAGAGAAGAGAATAAAAAAATTGTAGTTTGCATAAATACACTACGTACTCCAATGAAATATTTAAATTGGATTGGAAGTGCGTATTAATTGGTTAAGTAATCAAATAGAGTTCACATGGAGTAATATTTATATTAAATCCAATCCGTACCCAGACGCGGGCTCTGAAACTAATTTTTTATTTATTTTTTTTAACCAAAATCAAGTTGCAGACATTCATTCTCCTCCAAATACTGTAAATAAATGTTCTTTTTATTGTAGCCACTCGGGTTTGAATTCGAGATGGAAAATAAATCCATGTAAAACTATAGTCGTCAACATCTTTAATATGTCATCGGTTCTTATGATTAGTACCACTGTAACTCACAATATCAAATGTCATAACCCAAATTTAGAAGGGTTTAGCAAATTCTGGATGAGATAATACTACTACATTATTATTATTAAGCACCGGATGGATAAGAGTAGAATTTCACATTTTGTTTTTGGAACAACAGAGTTTACTTATTGACTTAAAGAGGATCTGTGCAACTCTGCCCATACAAAGAAACTAAGCCCCGAAATATTAGGGTTTAGCCGAAAGAAAATAAGGCAAAATGTTTTGCATTTAGCAATTACCAGCATTTCATTCTGCGTCCGTTTTCGAAGGATGTTGATGTTTTCCCTCTTCCTGGCCGAGAGCACAGAAGCGCTTGTCGGCCACAACAACAACAATATTGAACTCTTATTTCAAAACTAGTAAATGGGCCCTTTCAACGTTTGCTGAACCCACCCCAGAGGAGCCCACCTTTCTTATGGCCTAAAATGTCGATAAATCTTGGATTTTGTCATCATCAAAGCCCAAGCCTCACTTCACAAAATGACAACACCATCTAACTACAAACTTCAAAAGTGATTGGATCATAAATCACCCGTCGTTCCTAGGACGTTCTGATGGATTCTTTAATCTTCCAGAGATGGGCCCATTTTCTTACCAAGCAAATCAAATCTTAAGAAAAAGTCATGCAAATCTCAGTTCCTTATCTTTTGGTGTAGCCTGTTATCCACTCTCTCTCCTCCCTTCTGCTTGTGCCAAGAAACAGAGAAGAGCATGGCCACCACACTCAGCCTTCTAAAATTTCCAATTGTTGCTCAAAAGAACAATACTCCATTTATCCGCTCAAAACTGCCTCTTCTTTCTAAGTCATCAAAATTAGATGTTTGCAAAAAAGACTTACATAACCCGCATAAGCTTTTCACTGAAAATATCGATCATCTAAGTTCAGCTTCACTTTCACTGACATCACTCACATTACCTTTCGTTTTAGACACAAAGGCATGCCCATTATCAACCAGTTTTAAAAATCTTCTCTTTTGATCTAGTTTGTCTTTTTTTGGACTGAATTGCTGACCCCCTTTTTTTCTTCATTCCTTTTCTTTTTGTTGGGATTGGACTGCAGGATGCACTTGCTGTTGGTGGCGAGTTTGGGATATTGGAGGGAAGGTCATTTGCACTTATCCACCCCATTGTGATGGCTAGTTTGTTTTTCTACACTTTGTGGGCTGGATATTTGGGATGGCAATGGAGGCGTGTTAGGACCATACAGAATGAGATTAATGAACTTAAAAAGCAAGTGAAACCTACCCCAGTTACTCCTGGAGGCACACCTGTGGAAGCTGCACCATCTCCTGTTGAACTCAAAATTCAGCAACTCACCGAGGTAAGGCTACAGGCTTAAAGAACAGTTTTAACTGAAGTGATTCAAAATTCCTGCAGCGAGTTACTATTTGAGAGAATCATTTGAGAAGAAAAAATGTCTAGGGTTGTAATTTGCAAAAAACATATGCCATTTTTGCTCCCTTTTTTTGTTTTTTTTTTGTTTGTAAATGCTATTGATAGTAATACCCAATGATATATTTGGAGTAACATTAAGGAATACTACGGTTTTGATATGTTTGATACAGTGACATGAATGCAATGTCATAGAAGAAGAAATTGGCTCACATTTTCTTCTTCCATCACCTCCAAACTTAGTTGAATATAACAAAGCGACGGAATTAGTTTTCTAACTTCGTTGCGTTGGACCTTTTATCAAATATTGCCTAAGAGAACTTCTACAATTATTTTGAGTACTGTGGCTAACTGGCTAGGGTGAAAAGAAGATAGTGTTCCATTGTGATTCTTTTCAAAATCTTTGTAGATTGATTAATTACATATAAATCGTTGCTAATGCTGCACTGCTCGCATATTGAAATGGTGTGACTTCCGGTGGCCATTTATTTCCTGAACCAATTGCATTTCTGAAAGAGTCAAGGAGAGGATATGTTTATCTAAGGCATTGATCTTTCCAATACAGGAGAGGAAGGAGTTGATAAAAGGGTCTTACAGGGATCGGCACTACAATGCAGGATCAATATTGCTAGGATTTGGAGTATTTGAAGCGGTTGGTGGAGGACTCAACACATGGTTGAGGGCAGGAAAGCTATTCCCTGGACCCCATTTGTTTGCAGGAGCAGGTATAGCATGAATGTTTCTGTTTATTACAATCCAAAAGTTTAACCCAAAGGGGGAAACAAGGGTTTTTGTTGGTTGACTCGTATTATTGGATGAGGTATTCTATATTGCCATTCCCTTTTGTTACGCTGCTGGTTTTCACTTCTAAGGAATTGCCTTTGTCAGCTGATGTTGCTGCTTTTATTCGTGTCACAGGGATAACGGTTTTATGGGCAGCAGCAGCAGCCCTAGTTCCTGCAATGCAGAAAGGGAATGAAACTGCCAGGAATCTTCACATTGCATTGAATACAATTAATGTTGTTCTCTTCTTGTGGCAAATCCCCACAGGAATTGACATAGTTTTGAAAGTGTTTGAATTCACTAAATGGCCTTGAATTAGAGCGACCCTGAGGGTGAGCTTTCTTACAAGCCAGGCAGGTACATTTTCTGTCTCTATATAAGGTCATTTGTATAATCTGCACTCGACATTTTGTGATTGTCTGTATCCTGGTCACTAGTATATATGATCAAGCAGAAGGAACTACATTACAATGCATTAGATGCTCCTCAGTCTGTAAGAAAAAAGCATTTGCACAATGTTGTACATGCAACTGCTCTTTTCTTTTCTCTCAGGCTATTTCTTTGTTTTTTTTTTTTTTCAATCAACATTCCAGAAGGTGAATTTGCAATTTATTGAAATGTTACAGTCTGCATATCCGTGAAGAATTACTCTCTCTGTTTGAAGGAGTTGAGAGTTAGACTAATGCAATTTTGTTTCAAGATCATTAGATTGCAGACAAATTGGTTTAGCTCATCAGCACCCATTAGTATCTGCATTTATCCTTCTCTAATAATTTGTTTCATCAGCAAATCCAACAAATGTGTTGACCTTCATGTTCCCTGTAAATTTTAATTGAAAAGTTCAAATGCATTTCAAGATTTCAGACACTCACAAGACAACTAAAAGGAACTAACCAACCCCAAAAGCAGATCATCTATTTTTTTAGTTTAGTTTTCCCATGCACTTCGATGATGTCTAATTTTCGTATTCGGCCCAGTTACCTTTTGAACCTGTAAGCTCACATAACCTTAAAAAAAATCAGTTAAGCTTATGCGGTCTAAGGTTTTCATTTCCCCTCATGCCAATTAATATACATCAAGCTACGATGACGCCCAAGATATTCTAGCAGTTCATAGGTACAGAAAGAATCTGTCAGAATGCTGGTATATCGTGCAAAACCCTTGCAAGGGGAATACATAATACGCATCTTGTTTACACTGATACATTAGAGACGGATCATTTTCCAAAGCAAGGAATGTCCATAAGAATAACGACTAAATTGTTTAACACAAAATGGAAAAAGATCATTATCCAAGGGAGGAAGCCTTGCAGCAGAATGAACCTTATGAAGTCATATAATATGAAAGAAAGCCTAAGATATACAGGGGGAGTAGTTTCTGATGAGCCAGCCACTGGTTATTCCCAGAGTCTGAAGTAGCAACTGAACTATCTTGGTAACTTAAACTTGCATTAACATGGCATGCCTCACAAAAGATACCAGAGCGATGTTCAACCTCAACCCATCCTTTGTTTGGATCTTTAATTCACACTCACTTTCTCTGTCCCCCATATAAAGTCCATACTCACACACCAAACTTATTCATTAGATTTCCAAACCTCAGGATTAAAAATAAAATAAAACTGCTAAATGTAATGATATGACCCTGCACACTGAAATGGTGGATGAAATACCTCCGAGAAACTTGATTTATTGGATTTAGATCCAAGGTTATAGTGGCTGCTATATATCACATCTCACCCGTAGGTTAATTCAATGTAACTAAAATATTTTTGTTGTATAATTTGGATTAAACGATCCAAAATATGACATTGGTTGATATTTCCAGATGAGAATTTATGCCTAATAAGTTATTCTAGCATCTTTCACTGGTTATCTCTTAACCGCAATTTTGTTGATCTCAATTAAAGTTAAAATGCTTCTAATTAGATAATATTTGAAGGAGACTTAAAAAGAAGACCCCTTCAAATATTATTTTGAAAAAAAATTTGTTTGCTTATCAAGAACGAAAGGTTCGGAATAAAAATGCAGTAGTTGGAATAAAAATTAGAGAATCGGAATAACATTTGTATTTTCATACCGTGTTTAGAATATTAATAAGGAATCGAATGAACTTTAAATTTTTTAATATTTAATTTTTAACGTAAATAAGAATAATAATTAAAAAATAATTTCATCACTATAATAGTAGTAAAAATAATAAAATTGATAGTGGTAATAGTGCTTGTGGTGATGATGGTGGGATGTATGTGGTGATTGAAGCAGTTAATACACAATAAATAAAAATAATATATTATTATTAAAAAAAAATCATTCTTATTTTTTATTTTTATTCTCACTTTGTATATGAGATGAAACTATTTATAATTTTCATTTTATTTCTTTTAACCAAATAAGATGAGAACAAACTTTTATTTCTATTTCCACCAACCAAACAGCATTCTTTGTGACTCCCAGGTAGTAACGAAGAGACAGGATAGATATTCCCGGGCCCCTTCCGTGGTTCTTTTCCTTTCTTTTGCAACAATGGAGAACTCTGGAGTATTTTTCAGTCACCATCAACGATTGCTACCTCTTCCTGTCTTCTCTCAGATATTTTAGCACCCCTAGTTATATTGAAGGAAGGGCAATCTTGAAGCGTCGTAAAGGTAAACGAAGTTTGAAAAGGAAAAAAGAAGGAAAGAATCACAATCTGGCTAATCTTGCAAGCAAAGTAAAAAATGAAGACATAGACAGCTACGGCACTAAAATCCTCTAGGGGATTTCAAGAATATTGTTACAGTATGCTTTGTGGTTACTAAATACTAACCACAAAGCATATTAACAAATATTTGTTCTTTTTTAAAATGCAGAACAGGAAGAGTAGAGTGAAGCCGCAATTGGCACAGCATGAATATGCTTATTAGCTCATTAATTAGTCAATACGAGGTCGATGGACAGCCGTTACCATGTTTAGAGAGAGACGGCTGCTATGATCTCAGCAAGAGAAGTGGAAGAAAATGCCTTACAATGCACCAAAAAGTCAATGATAATGGTGTTGATTAAAAGTTTGCCGAGGTATAACTTAATTTGTAGTCACCCTTCGAAGGAGAGGCTGGAAGTTGAATCTCCTATAGTGGTCACAAAAAATTCAAAAAAATACCGAAAACTCAACAGGAAAAAAAAAAAAAAAAAATCCAAGATCAATAATTTTGCTCTGCTCAGTTGCCTCGGATGGATTCTTGTTCAAATTAAATATTCGTCTCGAAAAATGTTGGCCAGGAAGATATGCATTGTTGAAATGGCATATGCTATTCTTTCCTATTGGTAAACTTAAAGCTTGTAGCAGAGTGAAAGGACAATTTTAGAAAATGATTGCAGGATACCGCTCAATTTTTCTTCAGAATGCTAATACTGACATATATGAGGTAGACTAATATCAGTTTTGCAAAACAAGCGTCTACCACTGAATTGTTTTTTTAATTACTTGTCAATTCAATCCAATGATCCTTCATTAGACAAGAAAAGTCATCTCACCATGACTGAATAGCTAAGTTTCTATGCGGCTGTAGTTGATACCAATCTTGGATTGTGGGCGAGCCTTTTTCAGCTGTAAGTGCTTTCTGAATCTGATGCCTTTCCCTTTTTCTTCCTCTCATCTCTCTGTATGCAATAGTGTGGGTTCCGCGTGGTGTTTTGATCCTTTCTTTCTCTCTGTTTCTATGTCAAGCTAGCTTAAGGTTCATCGGTTATAAAATCATAAAACTATAAATAACAACTCACATGCATTAACCATCTATACTTGTATTCATTCCTATGTTTCTTATTAAGTAAAGTTCTAAAATCCGAAAACTCTCCACGACATGTCAAACCAACCTGCCCAACCTCGCCCATGGTTTCGTTTGCCATCAATAGCTCGGCCAGCTGCCCCTGCTCCAACCCCAACTCCACAGCCGCCGCCTCCACAACCCCGTCCAGCTATTGCTCGACCTGCATTTAGGCCAGGTGGTCTGCCTCAGCCTGTGCCAACACAGGCCCAAGATACCACTCCTGCAGCACCTCCTTCTGCTGCCGCAGTGCCACCGCCTGTAGGTGCTCCCCCACGAGAATCATTGCCACCTGCTGCTGGTGCTGCTTCAGTTCCAACATCTCCAGCCTTAAGAGCTGCAGGTGGTGTTGCATCTGTACCATCATCCCCAGCTCCAAGAGCACCTGCTCCTTCATCTTCAGTGCCAACTTCTCCTGTCCCTACTTCCACTGGGCTTCCACTCCCTGCCTCTTCACTTCAACTTTCTCCAACTTCCAAACTAGTGACAACTTCCTCTTCAGTTCCTACCTCTCCTACTCCTAAACCAGCTCCATCTGCTTCTATCCCAACTTCTCCTGCTACTAAGTTAGTGACAACCACATCCTCAGTACCATCTTCTCCTGCTCCTAAGCCAGTGACAGTCACATCCTCAGTGCCATCTTCTCCAGCCACTAAAACTGTAACCACCAGCGCAACTCGTGTGCCTAGCCCCGGACCATCTCTGAGAAGCACCAAGCCTGCAGTTCAAACCCCACCTCAATCACCTAAGGCTAAGCCCACTGCTCCACCACCTTCTCCTCTAACACTTCCGCCTTCCCAAGTAGAATCTGATTCAGATCTTGAACCCAGGATTCCATTGGTGGCACAGCAAAAAACTGTGTTGGTTCAAAAGACTGTTGACAAGCCTAAGGTGGCGCGTGATTTGCAGAGGGGCTTTGCAGACAGTCTCAGCTCTGGCATTGCTCATCTTGCAAAGCAAGAAACTGCCAAAGATGTTCAAACAAAGGAGAAAGGTAACCGCAAGAAGATTTCTTCAGATTCTGAGGATGCTGGCATGAGGGTAATCACAATTGCCGGTGAAAACAAAGGTGCTTTCATGGAAGTAATCCATTCTCCCAGGAAGCATGTTTTTGAAGGAAATTCTCATGTTCTCCACAAGAACGGTAATCCTAGAGGTGAAGGCAGTGATTGGGGAAGCCACAGCAGCAGTGGTGAAGAAGGCAACAGCAAGAAGAAGGACAAGAACCACAAAGGAAAAGCAGCGGGGCCATCACCTATGAGTGCATTTATGAACAGTAATGTGCAAGCTGTTAACAATTCAATCGTTTACAATTCTTCATGCAGTCATCATGATCCTGGGGTGCATGTTGCCCTCTCTAGAAAACCAGCTGGTGCTGCTGGATTCCATGTCAAGGACCGTGGCAATGGCTACCACAGTTGAAAAGAGAGAGAGAAAGAAACCAATTGAAGAAGTTGTGATTTAATGTCTTCATTTAGTCTACAATATCATACTGTGAGAATAAATATAATTAATTGAGTGTTGAGAAGAAGGCATGGATTCTATTCTTCATCGTTGTTTTCCACTTTTTTTGTGGATTACAAAGGAAGTTAGTCCACTGTCTTGTCTTTGGAAGAGGTCAACCTAAAATATATGTATGCAGAGATGCAAGTCTGTGTCCCCAATAAGTCAGCAAGTTTGCTCTGTATTTTCACATATATCCATTCGTCAATTCCTATATATTGTATGACAGTTTTCCTTTAAGAATTGAACCAATCATTTCTCTCTCTTGCCTTGCCACTCAAATTCACTGCAAACCAGAACTTTGAAGATTTAAAAAGAAACCCTTGACTTTCTCTTCTTTTTCCATACAATAATGGATTCAAAGTTTGGGTTTCTTAGTGCAAAAATCTTATACCCACTTATTAAATTAAGTGTTCATCGTTCAGCCTTTCCCATTATATATGTACATATAAATTTGTCTTAGTAGTAAATTAAATGGATTCAAAGTTGTTGTTGTTGTTTTTTAATTGTAACTTCTCTCAATGTTCGAATTGTAAATAATAATGTACAACCAACCAAACTAATCTTGCCAAGGGTTTCCAACTAAAATGTTGATTCCTTCTTATAGTTTGATAGTAGCATAAGACTGGACTGGGGCCTGGGCTCAAATCAAGATCTATAGATTGGCCTGTGCCTGAGTTAGATTCTAACTGGGTCTCTAAGAATATTTATTGCTTAAATAGTTTGATTGGGTTGCAGTGATTCCAGACCAGGCTTGTAACCACGAAACCTTGTCAGGTTCATATTTAGACCCGACCTCACCCGGGAATTTGGGTCTTTTTATGAGCTTGTACAGTTGGACTAGACAATTTAACTCACGTTCATTGTGCTGTCTTATTAACAACAAACCTTCCCTTTCTACCTCTTTTCTTTAGAGTTTATAGTTTTTTTTTTTTTTTGGAAAAAAAATCTTGTTTCTATAGATATTTTAGTAGAGTTTCATTTTATAAATTTGAATAGATTGAAGTTGATTTTTTTTTTTTTATCACAGAAGCTGAGAGAGAACTGCAGGCTATCTAGTGCGTAGACAACTATTTCTTAGACAAAAAACCTCAACTCCAATAATTTTTATTGATTAATAAATGATATTTCCAAAAGATTATTACCAAGCTTTATATAGGCTGGTGAAAACCCTATTTGACATAATTAAGAAAATAAAATCAAATATACAATTATTCCCTCCATATATATATATATATATATTCCCAATATTATATACCTGGTGCTATTATTATAGGAAAAAAATTTCACGTTCTGTTAAATAAATAAAATATAATGTCCATATAGCTTGATTCGTTGTACATAGAAGAATAATGCAAAATATGTGTGCCTTTGGTATGTTTTTAAACCACAACGACGCTTTTACTTGTTTTTAACCTATAATGTTTATAATATGTTTTGTTTTGAAATCAAAATATATGAGAATTCAAAAGAAAAATGTTTTGTTTAGAAAAAAAAAAGGACCTTCATACTTTAAATCAAAATAAAGCTCATGACATTTAAGTGGAAAATATTTAGCTTTTAAAACAAAACAAGACAGCCCCTAACTACTTTTATATAGAGGTTATATAGAGTTTGAAGGATGTTTCATAAATTTATGTTTTTTGTTATATATATATATAGAGGATGATCGATTAGAGGGTTATACTTGACGCTACTAGCATTGAACTTGAAATCATCTTTTATTATTGTTTTTGTTCAATCTATTTTCAAATACTAGCCTGCAATTTGCATAGGTATTTTGCTTTCAAAATAGGGATATAGTTTGCAAATGATTCTTTGCTTAGACAAATTATGAACATAATGAAGAGTGAGAATTAAAATAAAAATTAAACATATTTTCACTCTCAATGAAAATGTAGGAATAAAAATCAAAAGCGAGAACAATATATATTTTTTTAAAAATAATGATATAAATTATTATTTTTTATTGTGTATCAGTTATTTCTATTATTATTATTATTATCTCCACTACTAACACCAACACCATTTGTGATGGTGATAAAAAATATCATTATTATTATTCTGTCATCATTCTTTTGTCACTATCACCGCTATCATCAATCTTCTTTTACTGTTTTCTTTTATTGTAACAGTATCAATTGTTTTAGATTATATATTATTCCTAATATTATGGTACTATTATTATTATTGCCACCACCTCTTCCTCCTTCCTCTATATCAACACTATTGTTGTTGCGGCAATTAACTCTATTATTTTTATTATAATTATGATTGATAAAATTATTTTTTCATATTATTATTTTTATTCATTTTAAAAAATAGATATTAAAAATTTTAAATTTTATCCTGATTTTTTACTTCTATTCTAAACATAATATTGGAATAAAGATATCATTTCAATTGATATATTTTTATTCTAAATTTTTTATTTTTAATAGTCAAACTATACATGAATCTCTATCTACAATGAATCTCTAAAATTTTCTAGTTTAATTATTACGCTATAATTTTCTCATAGTTATGTCAAACAGGAAATATATGTTGATTCTTTGTCATTCACCCAATTAATTTTGACACTATCCCCTTTGTTCTATTGGCAATAAAATTATTGGGGAGGGCTTAAATGGGGAATAGCGGTTCCAACACAATGAGCCAATAGCTAGGATGCTTCTTTTGTTCCACTGTGCTTGGCCCACAAACTTCTGCCATGAAAGCCTTTCTAAGTGGGTTCTTTATTCTCTAATTCGCTGGTGCCACTAAAAGCCTTGCATGTGCATACGTACCTGCTGATAGTCACAGTTCATTCCAATCTGTGGCTCCGGTTACATTGAGCCTATGCCATGACCTTTTTATAAAAAATAGTTTAAAATGAATTTTAATTTATCTGAAATTGAGTTTATAAACTTTAAATTTGATTTTGAGAATTTTTGAAATTTTAATTTTTTGTATTTTAGTTTTTTTCAATGTTTTTTAGTTATCATATTTTTTTTAAAAAAAATTCAATTCTTGATATTTTGAGTTGAAATTTTACAAACTTATTGGGAAAATCCAACATAGTTTCTATAAAAATTCTAGATTTTTTCAAAATCTAAAAGTATATACATAGTTTTTATTTTTTGAACATTAAAAATATAAAAAATAAAAGAAATAGAAAATAATTCAAAAATGATTTTAATTTTTTTTAGGAGTCCATTCAAATCTCATTGAACGATTTTTGTCGTAGAGTTATTTATGTAATTGTTATTTTTTAAGATAAATGACAAAAAACTAAAAGACGGATTCAATTAAAAAAATTAAAAGTTTTAGAATTTTAAAAATTAAATTTAAAGTTCAAAAACCCTATTTTAAATAAATTAAAGCTCAATAGAGATTTGACCTACTTAACGTAATAATAATAATAATAATGCAAAAGATTTGGAGGAGAAAGATAAAAAGAAAGATTAGGACAAGTGCTAGACAAATTGCAAATAATGAGCCCTTTGACCAAAACAAGGGGACCGGAAAGCAAGACCCCAGGCTTGCATGATTATAGCCACCTGGGCCAGCTCAGGTGCTGATCAGGGGTGGTTTTGCCTGTTGGGTACGGCAGAGAATAACCGAACAGAGGAATTTGAGTTAGAGCTATGTGCCTAAAAAAATGCGTTGTTAATATGCTGCAGACATAAATGGAGTCAATGGACATCAACGTTAACAGTTTTTGGGTGTTCTGTGCATTGTAATTTGCTGAAGGGTCGAACTAATTAAGACCATAGTAATTTAAAGCTCTATTACCTTCTTAAGTCAGACGAATTGTCACTCGAGTTTTCGCTAGGTTTGGGATTAGCTATAATTAAGAAAAACGGAAAATTTTCCCTTTTCCTTCTAAGACTTTTAGAAAAGCCATTGGCTGTGCACATGAAAATTTATGTTGAGTCAATTACGAATTTTATAAAGTGCTACCTTTAGTAGTCAGAAATTATTATTTGAAAGTCGCAAATGCATATATTTATATGAAAGGTTGAATTATATTGAGGTGCAAATTGGACCACAGAAAATCTCCTCTTGCACTAGACATTCTAATGTGCTCAATCAATTTTTCTTTTTCTTTTCCAAGTTTGCTTTTGTTGTCGCTCAAAAACAGGTTTGGTTGTAATCAGAAGGGACCAAAATGACCACTATGCCATGCGAGGCTTAATCCCACGTCACTGAAAGATTGGATCAGCTTGTTTTGATGAGAATTCAAAGCACCTTGTCACGGCTTGGCATTTTGCCAAACTCGCCTAGCCGAACTTGACTCAATTGGTTTTAAAGCCAAACTAAGTCAGTGTTCTTTCAAAACCGACCAAATCAGTTTTTCTTTCGTATTAAGTCGTCAAGTTAGCATTTTTTGGTATTAAATGTATTAATTTGTCAAGCAAAAAAGACATGCAAGGTAATGTTCTCAAATGTTTACAATTTTCACATTACACTTTTTTGAATTACAATTCTAAATGAGAACCTCGCATATTTATAGAGATCTTTTTTTTTTTTTTTCAATGAACAGTAAGAAACACTTTGATCTAATAGGTACAATCAATTTTCTAGAACTCTTTTATTTAGATATTTACGTAAAACACTTTAAATAAGTATACACGAGAATAACTCTAAATATGTATATACTAGAACAATAAGAGGTTCCGCAAATTATTTTAAAATATGTTTAGATTTTTTTTTAGATAACTTAACAGCTTTTTCAATGCTCCAAAGATTTGTAGAGACTTTAGCATGTTTCTCGTAGCCTTCGTAAAAGATTTTTTTTTTAAAAAAAAAAACTTAAAATAGCTTCTTTTATATCCAAGAATGTGAATGTTTTGAAATTTTCGAATTTAGAGTAAGTCTACATCTACTAAAAATGATTGAAAACAATCGGCTTCTATATATATCCATAATCGATGCGT